CACTGGCCAGCTGTCAACCTGAAGAGTGGCATTGCCCCCATTCCTGGTAAAGCGCACCACATGGTATTTGCCATCATTTACAGGTGTGCTTTCCTCTTTAATAGAGATGTCCACTGTACCAATATTGAAGACCACACCAATCTTGCCTTGCTCCTGAAATGAAAGAAAAAAAGAAAAAAATGTTTGCAAATTGCTGCCTATTAGGAGAATGTTCCTGGCCTATAAATCTCTAATGGGTAATTGTGCCAGTAGATGGCACTACAGAATACACAGAAGCATCATTTTGTGCTTTGACAGGATACATTTCATTGGCTCTGCTTCAATGCTAACATTGTCTTCTGCACTCTTCTTTACAGCTTTCACCTGAACATAGTGACTCATTTGCTCTCTTAAAACATCACAGAGGACAGTTGAGAAATCAGGCAATAAAACCAAATAGATGTGGATATATAGTTACTTGAGCAACAATTCCACTGATTAGTTATTCTCTTGTTCAATTGCCATCTGAAATGCAGCCACAGGCAGGCTTTAACTCAACTGTTTCACAAACAGACTAACAGAACAGAACTAACAGCCCCCACCCCCAAACAAATAACCACAGGATCCAGCAGGGTGAACACAGGTACAAGGAGGAAAGAACTAGAAGGCAGCAAAAATGCATTAACCAACTTTGACCACCTGAGGGATGCTAATTACTCCTAAGCCAAATGGAAAACATTCCAGACTTTTGAAGGATGGGAGTGGCTGCAGTCTTTTACTTTTTAATATCACACACTCCAAGCAACGACTTACTAATAAAGCAGTCCCCTGCAGTGTTCTCCCAAAACTTTCCACCAGCCATTGACTAAATGGCAAGAGCAGACGGATGCAATTTTACTGACCATAACACATTTTCCTGCAGCTCACCCCATCTAGTTCCAAGTAATAACAAGATTCAATGACTTGAGGTTGTGAAATGTGGACCCAAAGTATATTCAGGTTAGATACATAAAATTATAAATATTAATTTAAAGGATGCCAGAAATTCCCAACAGTGTACCATATGGAAGCAACCAAAACACATCTTCAGGCCTTCAACAAGGACGGGCATCAGTGTGCTGACCATCCATACCATAAAATTGGCATTAGCCTTATTAGCTGTTTTAATAGAATAGTCAAGGAAGAAACAAAACCAGAGAGTGGATAACTGTCTCATATCTAAATATAACCTCTTCAAAGCAGACCTGCAGCGTAACTCAGACTTTTTCTTTTTTTTTCTAATGCTATCCCCCTATTCTTTGAACTACAATACAGTTATCAGTTCAAAAGGAAAACAGTCCTGTAGTTAGAGGTCACTAGAAAACTAGACTGTGCTTCAATTACTTGGAATTTGCACTGTAATAGTATGCACCTTAATATTACTTTCTTTCTTCTTATAATGATAAATTTTAGACTTTACTATGTACATACTGGATAGCAAGAGTCTCATGTTCATTGACACTACCGTGCTTTGGACTCACGCCTCTGCAAGATAACGATAATCTTTTTACCCCTGTAACAGAGGGTAAGTGGACTAATGCTCCCAGCAGATGCATGAACTCAGACATCATTTGAAAATAATCAAACTTTCCTCTCTTATGCTACCCCCAAAATACAGGAGTTTTGCAGAGCTTTTTCCAATTGTACTGGGTCTGGCTGGGATGTTAACTTTCCCTGCAGCCCATACAGTGCTGTGCTCTACACTTGTAGCTAGAACAGCAGTGTTATCACCCCAGTGTTGTGTCTGCTGCTGAGCAGTGCTGGCACAGCATCAGGACTTTCTCTAACCCTCCTAGAGGGTGGGCAAAAAAGTGAGAAAAGCAACATCACCAGGGTAGCTGACCTAAACCAACCAAAGGGATATTCCATACCATATGATGCCACACTCAGCAGTGAAAGGTGGAAACAGGAAGAAGAGGGGAGGGGTGGGCTCTAGTTGTGAAAACGTCAGTCCTCCTCCCGAACACTGGCTACGTGTGTTGAGGCCCTGCTTCAAGGATGTGGTCAAGCATTGCTCATTTGTGGGAAGTAAAGAGTAATTTCTTTCCTCTGCACTTCCATACAGCCTTTGTTTTGTTTTTTCCCTTTTCCCTTTCCCCCTTTCAATTTTTTTCCGTTTAGTTAAATTGTTTATTTAATATTATTTTTTCTTTAATAATTATTTTTTTCCTTTAATTAAATTAGCCTTATCCCAACCCGTGAGTTGTTCTTTACTTCTTCCCCTCCTCATCTAAGGAGGGGGAGTGAGAGAGTGGTTGTGGTGTTTAGTTACCTAGCACGGTAAAACCACACCAAGTAAAGCTATTGCTGGCATAGCTTTACCATTTTTTTTACTTATAAAGTGATCTTGTATCACTGTGAGTGAATCTTTTGTGTTAATAAAGTGTCTCCATAGTAATTAGTAAAGAGCAAGTGATTACTTCTTCCTAGACAGCAGGACTCAAAGAATGTCTACTGACCAGGTCACTTGGTTACTGTCTCCATGTGTTTTGGCAAGGTGCTGCCTTATAAACAACCTCCCAGAGAACCTCTCATACTGCTTTTCAATCACCCTCAGAATGTCAATCATGTTCTCCACACTAGCACAGTGACCACTTAGAGAAGAGTCCTCCTTGGTAAATCTTAGTGTAAGCATGTAACATGAAAAGCTACACCATGTCTAGTGGAACAGATAGCCACCACCACCACAGAAGAAGGGATTAAGAGGTATTCAGCAGAGAGAAAGATATGTATTTTCAAGCCCTACAGGCTGAATGAGGCACAGATAAAAATTTGTAAATGGGGAAGGAGACAGTGAGAAGTTTAACTAATCTCCCCTGAAGAAGGAGAAAACATTTCTGATGTCCCCTTTGATGAAAATGAGATAGTGCTTTTCGCCATTCCGTTCCCCAGGCTTGAAGGACAAACCTAATTTAAAGAAGTAGTGATAACCCATGGATAAGAGGATAAACTGAAAAAGGGAAGATTCTGGAAGAGAAGGACTGCAAACTGAGCCCCAGCTTGTGTTACTGCATCCTGGTCTGGGCCCCCAGCACAGGAAGGACACAGAAAGGGCCCCCAGCACAACAAGGACCTGTTAGAGCAGGTCCAGAGCAGGGCCACGAGGATGATCAGAGGGCTGGAACACCTCTCCTATTAAAGAAAGGCTGAGAGAGTTGCGGATGTTCAGCCTGGAGAAGAGAAGGCTCCCGGGAGACCTCATGCAGGCCTTCCAGTACCTCTAGGGGCCTTATAAAAAAGATGGAGAGTGGCTTCTTACTCAGGCAGATAGTTACAGCACAAGGGGGAACAGTTTTAAACTAAAAGTGGGAAGATCTAGATCAGATATTAGAAGGAAATTCTTCAGAAGTTGGTGAGGCACTGGAACATATTACCCAGAACAGCTGTAGATGTCCCATCCCTGAAGGCGTTCAAGACCAGGTTGGATGGGGCAACCTGATCTAGTGGGTGGCATCCCTGCCCATGTCAGGGGGGTTGGAACAAGGTGATCTTTAAGGTCCCTTCCAACCCCATCCATTCTGTGGTTCTATGAAATGGCCCCTCAAGCTGCTAGAGAAAGGAGGGAAATGAGCAAACTGGTACCCTCCCCTACCCCAAACAGACTGCCGCCCACTCTCACAGCCAAGGAAACATACCCCTTCTCAAAGTAGCACAACACTTGGTTGCAACTGAGAAACAACCCCCCAAAAAAATCGTGTAAAACAAATCACAGCCCTAATCAAAGGCTTCCTCCAGCTTTATTCAGTCCCTTCTTGGGCAGAGCTCCCTGTGACTAAGTTTTGCAGGAGCAGGACATTAAGCCAGATTTTGATACTCTTACTCGGACTGAGTAGGAGTTTGTCATGAAAATGGTTCCTTTCCAATTACCAGGACAAAACACAATGTAACACAATTATCTGAAAGCAGGGCTATTGAAGCCAAACTGCACACACAGACTTCAAGATACAGTTTATTCATGGTATTTTATATCTCTAGGGCAGCAGGCTCTCTCTGGAGAAAGAAAGAAAAAAAAAAAAAAAGACAAAAAAAAGCAACAATTACTTTACTCATTCCTGTTAGAAAGAAGCAAGCCAGAAAGAAAAACCTACAGCAAAGAACAATGACTACGGACACAGGGCAAATCCAGGATTTATTTTCAAGATCTCTTCATTTCCACAGTTTCCTATACTACAACACCTCATTAAAAGCAGCTTTTATGAAGACTTCTTCCTTCCTTCTAAATTTGAAAGACAAACATTACCATTAAAATTTAACATTTCATGACGGACATGACCTCTTTCATTCAATTTTCAGTACAGATAGTAGCTTTTTTTTTTTTTTTTTTTTTTTTTTTTTAACATTACCTGACATGGGTATTAACTAGACCAGTAAGTATATGTCAAAGAAAGATTTACCTTTGAACCACTATGTTTACTTTGTAGTTAGAGGAAGAAAAATCCCAACCATAAAGGAAGGGAAAAGATGAATACAAAGGCACACAGTGTATGCAAGTTATATGCTCCAGAGAATTTTAATAGACAGCGTTTTTTTTTCCTCCCTGCATCAGCATTCACTGAGCTGCCTGAAACACCTTCCATGAAAAGGTGATCATGTGTCCCCCAAAACTGCTGTCTTCAAAAGCCGCATTGCCTTCTCCTCACTTACGGCTTTTTTGGAAATAAATTTCCGCCAAGACTTCAGGCAAATAATTATGATTACATAATTGAATGTTTTCAGATAAATTATATTACCAAAACAAAGTACTAAAAAGAATGTACAGGGCCTCACCTTGGTGTCTCTATTCTACGCCACCCTTCCACAAGCTCCTGGCAGCAGTTGCTTGTTATATACACGGCTCCCAAAACATTAAGAACATCATTACATAACACAGGGGCTAATCTACAGCCTGGGATCTGGAATCTCACCCTTAAGTGTTATTTTATTTTGGGCAGTGTTTTCTTTTACCTTTCCAGGAAACAGATTCTTCATCTGTGAAAGAGGGGTAACAGTCACCTATCTTACCCTGCTTTACAAGCCCTGTAACCCGGACACATTTTACTTAAACACTAATGACATTTTGATAATTTAAAGAACAAATACAATTTGGAAATATGAACTAGGCAGGATCTGATAATGGCCTATTAAAGCACCAAGGGCAATGTCTGCATCTCACTTTGGTGGACAGAAAGAAACCTGACTGGAAGAATCTGGAGGGCACTGAAGGAGCACGATATTATCCTTTTAGTCCAGAGAGTACTATCCAACAGCTTCACAATGCACTAGTTTGAGACAGAGATTGTGAAATTCCAGCCTTTTGGCACTGAAATACTAACCTTTTGGCTGGTTTGTTGTAGTGTCCTACCTCCCCTCAACCGTCTCATCCCTGAAAACAGCTGCAATCCAAGTGGGGCAAGGTCCTAAGCTTTTTTCAGCTTCTACCTTCAGCTCCTCTGAAACCCATTCTCTTCTTCTAAAGGGACCTCCAAAACATTTCTGAGGTTTGACATTTTCACAGGTAGGTTTTTTTTTTTTCTTTTGTTTTCCCTAACCCAAGGAAGGCTAGAGCCTGTCTGCATGCAAATACTTCATGTGATGTATGTTGTGTAACTGTTGGCACTTCCCCCACTCAGTGTGCCCTTGCATTTTTAAAGGCACCTATGTTTCTGTAGCAGATAAGGTGGGAAGTCAAATGTGGGTGGCAGTAATTTTGTTAGATGAGCAGTTGCACTGTGGTAGACACCACATGCCAATAACCACATATACTGTGTACTCTCAAAAGGGCTTTATCTTTCAGTCTTCTTTTTCTTAATCTAAAATTCACATCACCCAGACTGAGAGTATACAGCTGTTCCCTGTGTACAGAAAGGATTTCATTCCAAAAACCAAGAGAGAGAACCCCAGGCAATAGGACAAATCCTACTCTTGGCTGCATCGATATGAATCAATAGCAATTCTGCTGAAGAAACTCAGAATTCTTACTGATGCAAGCAGAAGCAGAGTTTATCCCAGTATCTTTATTTTGTTTTACTTCTTTTTCTGAAACTAAGTGCAAAAGAAAAAAAAAAATAAAACATATCCTACAATTCCAGTAGGATTTCAAGTAACTGTGTTTTCTCACTCATTTTACTTTATTATTTTTCACAAGTCACAAGTGTGCAGACTGCTTCCTCCCACCCTGGCAGGTTCCAGCATGACTAGACCTCAGCCCAAACCTGGCAGACAATAATACTAGTTACTGCTTTCCGAAGACCACTCCTGATTGTGCTGCTCACTTTTCCAAGCGACACATGCTCCTTCAGTAATACAAAAAGGCTTTTGCCTTGTAGGAAGGTTTTGTAAACTTCCCCCTCCCAAATGCCTCATACGTATATTTTTAACTCTGCTACCTGTAAGTTCAGGAAAACTGTTTTTTTCTTACAAGCTCAAGCACTACTCTTCCTGGAATGGCTTCCTTCTGCATATGGCCCTCAGAATCGCAAAGAGAGCCAAAAGAGATCAAACTTTTATTTCTCCCTCTTTGGAGTTATTTTTCCCCCTATTTATTGTTCAAGTCTGTCTTTGCTTCGTTTCCTTTTTATTTTTTTTTTTTAATGGGAGGGGTTGTATTTTTTTTTTCTTTGAAAAAAAAAAAAAATGGATTCTGGATGTTAGCCCAGCTGTCAGATCACTCACTTTCTGTGGTTTGGTGGACTTTGCATGATAGTATTAAATGTAGTGAAGTATTCAGTAGAACTGAAGGCATAGATGTATATTCCTCGGAGGACATTCACTAGTTACTACAATGTCAAAGCACTTGATGTCAAAGTTCTTTACTGACTAGGAAGGGGGGTGAAAACCAGCATTGCACTCAGAGTGCCCTTCTGAGCTGCAACTAGAAGGAAACGCATGGCTGGACAGGCCTTTCTGGGATAAATATTTTCACTGGATTTAAGAAGGAGAGACACTAGAGCCTGTATTCAGTGCAGATATTTCTTTTTTCACTCTGGTTATATTTAACACCATTTTTAACAGCACTTGGAACTAATTCTGAAATTGGTTTTATTAGTTTAATAACTCTACAGTTGGGTAAAGGGAGAGCTTACTGTCTGAAGTCTTCCTTTAACTAAATAAACAGCGATGGCAGGGAAGCCACGCTCAATGAGCGGCACAGCCATTTGGCAAACGTAAGAACCAAAAGTTGCAAATGTTGTTAAAGAAATGATAGTCCCACTCAACGTGGAATGTTTTGATCAAGGTTCCAGCACTTTACAGTTATCTTGAAACAAGAAAAAATATTACTGAGGTGACAAGGTGTACACAGGACAGTTAATTTGGAGTGATTTCTGTGTGATATTCTAAGAAGCATTAGGTTAGGTCATCTTTTGTTTTGTACTGCTTGCTGCTGCTTCTTTAAGATGTCAAACCAGATCCACTAAATCCCAATTACAAATCTATTTATCAGAGAGAACAATACACATACAGGTCAAAATAAATATCAATTATTACTCTTAAGGGCCATGGTTTTTAAAAGAAGCAATTCTCACAAATACATAATTTATGAAGCTAAAAAGGACAATTATTATCATCTAGTCTGCTCTAAAATTTTATGAGACCATATATTTTGCCTGAATTGATTCTTTTTTGGACTACAGAATATATTTTAGAACAACACTCTATTGTGATTTGAACATTTACAGGTGAGGAAAGAATCATTACAGATCAGTCATTGCATTTGCTTCTTTGATAAGACTGGCCCAGCGTTGAACATAGTCAAAAAGGCAAGTGGTGTGTCAAGAACTATAAAGAAAAGGAACGGTAGACTAAAGGCAAATCTCTGTTATAATTAATGGTGTACCTTTGACTTTAATTTCCGAATACAGTACTCAGATCTGTACAAGCTCAATCAGAAAAGAAAATGAGGAAATATAAAAGGTTCAAAAACACCAAGCTTGAAACGGTATATATAAAATACACCCCAAAAAAAAACACACACACAGATGTTTTATTTTTAATAACTCAACTACAAATATGTAATAAAATCATTTGGTAATAAAATTTAAGCAAAGGAAGTACATTTTGAGACAGTGCATAACTGAACTGTGCAACTCACTCTCACAGGGTATGTTGCATGCCTAAGATACATTCAAAAATAGACAAATAAATGGCAGGAAAGTCAATCAAGAGCTATTGAACACAACAGTGTGAATATAATCTTCTGCTCAGCAGGTCCTTAAAAGCAGATCATTACCGTTTGTTTTAACTTTTACCTCCTGTATTAAAAAAATAAATAAAAAATCTAATGTCTTACTTTCAGAAATGAATTGTAAGACTCTGATCAAGTCAAATTTTTTTGAACGTTATTGCCATTTCTTATTCATTTTGTAAAGTGGTGAAAGGAGTGCTCACAGGAGCGCTCTCAGGGAGTGCCCCTTGTACTGCGAGATTCCCTCTAGCTGAAGTAAAATGCAGCCACGCTCCTCACTAAGAGCTCACCAAGATATCTGGAAAGCAATTTTATATTTTTGATTGTGTATTTGGGGCACAAACTATTAGGTAATACTTTTTAATGGCCCATACTACAAAAAATAATAGCACAGAAATAAAGCACTACTGAAGCATGCCTTTTCTATTTTTTTCTTGATTTTTTTTTTTTTGACCAAACTCCCTGGCAACACCATGGGAATACTGAGTTACCAGTTGTCTGTGACAGTTCAGCTCTTTTAACAAATCATTCCTCCCAGTTTACCTTATGTCCTCTCCCTTCATCATTCTACCCTTCAATGTTTGCCTTTTTTTCTGATTATTTTTTTTTTTAATCCTGAAGGAAAAAAAAGACTGCCCCTCACAAGGGGCAGCTGAAGAACAGTGTGTATGCAATATGGAAGCTGTATTCCTTCCCTGCTCCTCAAACCAGGTACCTTGCACTTGATAAGAGGTTTATGCATCATTGCAAGTTTTTAGGTAACCTCAGTACACAATATCAACAGAATTAAACTTATGAATTAATTCGGCACCAGAAGTTTCCTTATTTCTTGAAATGTGATACTATTAATGCAGCTTGAGACCTTCTGAAGTTTTGACTCACTCATAGATGTAATCTAGTCTGGTTTGAGCACATTGCTGAAAGGCAGAAAAGATTTATTTTCTGCTTTTACTGCTGCTCAGTTACACCTTAAAAAAGCCACTCCATCTTTTTAGACGGAAGTTTCTGGCTTATCATGCAGTGCATTTGTGTGGTACCTACCACAGTGGAGCCCTAGTATCCAGGGGGGTCTCTGGATGCTGTTGTTGTACAAATAATTAACACTAAGCAGAGTATCCTGATATACAGTATCACAACATTATTACCATGACCAGGCATGTACTAAGCTTGCCTTAAACTCGTTTCCTCAAAATCAAGGGAACAATGTAGCATATCTGGTTGCTCTCACTTAAACCTGACACCTGCTGAGCGATCAGTAATGTTCTGGAGTCTTAAGAGGGGGGCTGTGCCCAATTAAATCATTTCTTCCTCTGACCTAACAAAGCAACAGTGCACTGTCAGTCAATTACCAAGCAGTGAAATGTAATAAGAAATACACTCAGGTGTGTTTAGGCCACACAATTTGTGGAATCAACTGTTGCTACACAGCTAGCAAGGCTCCAGCCGTAAGATCACTAATCCTTCTCATGTAGGGACACCATAATGCAAGTAAGGAAACAGAAATTAACAACATGCTGAAAATGGGGCATTACTTAGGCAAACAGAATGCAAAAAGCATTATGAAAGCAATACCTGTCCATCGCTTCACTGGCAAATACATTATTTAGACAGCAAATTTATTCCCTCAGTTTACAATATGCATCAGGAAAACCTGCCTTACATGATGGCATGAGCTTCAACTATAATTAGGACTAAGCATTCAGCCTGTTCCTTTTCAAAATATTAATAACATATCCTGGACATTTTTGAGAAATGATACGGTTTAGATATAATACTGGACTAGGAAAAAACAGAAACCACCCTGAATGTTGATGTCAACTTCTGTTTCTCTAAAGAACTGACACAATGCACACCGTGTGTTGCATTTTAAACTTAGAGCATCCCTAAAGTGTACCCTTCTCCTTTATTACAGAAGTCAGCTGATTAAAAGCAGCCCCTTCCACTTCTGTTCATAAATGCTGTCATGTAACTCACTCCTCAGACAAAAATGTGACTAGCTGCTAAAAATGCCACATCCGCTCAGTAAGGAAAAGGGTGCCATAAAAGTCAGATTTTAGAAGGGCAGAAGAACAAGCAACCTGCTTTCCAGGAGAAAGCATCTCCATCCATCTCAAAACGTCTCCACTGGAGTTTTAATCCACTGGGTAACATTGCCAAAGATTTATGCTGACAGAAGCTCAAGTGTCAGTTACACAAAATACAGTACCAGAGATCTGATCCAGGCAGCATGAAATAAACGGCGTACCTTAACTAGTAGGCTTCCTTATCAAGAGAGCTGGTATAATTGCATGATGTCTGTGGGCTGAAGGCGCAGCATGTATCATACACACTGT